TAAAAAAAAGCTGGACTGTGAACTTTATTTGGTTCATAGAAAGACAACCTTAACCAAGATCTTTCCCCTGTTATTTCTGGAAAAGAAATTAAAGCATATCACAGAACAATGTGAGTTCATGTTCCACTGAAACCTCTTTACTCCAGGCAAAGTCTTGGTTGATGCAATAACCTCTTCTGCATATTTTTTCTTTTTTTTTTTTTTTTTCCTAGTGGTTAAATGTTCACCTCTTGCAGAAATGGATTCCTTGGTAACACTGGTTGGGAATTTAGTGGTGCTGTTTGATGTGGTCTGTGACCAAGTCATTAATCTGTCATGCACTTCTGGTCTTTACAGGAAAGTGAGGAGGATGAAATTGGCAATCTTGAGCTAGCCTGGGACATGCTGGAGTTAGCAAAAGTCATTTACAAGAGGTAAAGGCTAAAGTTCTAATTTGGGTATATGCCACAGAAAGTGTAAATTGGATGGTGGCATAGCCAGTTAGAGAATATGGCATGCTCTGATCAGGATTTGAAAACTATTTTTTTCTTCTGGCTGTAGACAAGAAACAAAAGAAGCTCAGCTCCATGCAGCTCAAGCTCATCTGAAGTTAGGAGAAGTTAGCATTGAATCTGGTAAGTAATGTTAATTATCATGTGCAAAGTGTTTGGTTCTACTTTCTGTCACTGGGTTTTGTACTTTAAAATGAGCAAATGTGAATTAAAGCTGTCAGGATGAGAACAAATTAGATCATGATAGTTGCAGCCATGTGAGAAGCTTTGGAAGTGATAGTTGGTGCCTTGAAAATAGGATAGTCTGTGCTTTTGCAGAGCAGTGGAAAAAAGTTTGAGTAAGAAGCAATGTGTTGCTAGCCTTGTGTTCTGCTTTCTGAAGTGACCAAACCTTGCTTATGAACTTGAGACAGTTGCTGAAATTGTCATGAAAAATAGTTGACTCTCTTAGACCCTCCCAAATCCTGGGTTATAGTCAGGAAAGGCTCTTGTGTTACACAGCAGAAAAAAGGAGTGGGAGGCAAACCTCAGGATTGTGCCTTGTAATGACTCACTTGCCTTTCATTTAAAAATGTATTGTAATCTTGTTAAATCCAAATGTACACTTTCTCTGGGGCAGGCACTGGAAATAACCCAACAGGTTTCTGGGCCAGGGCTGCAGAACAAGGGTTGTGTCTTGTGTCACTGGAGCACAAGCAGGGAGTGCTTGGCAGGAAGGTGGCACTGTCCTTAGCTCCAGATCCGTGTTACAATTGGGACCAGTTACGTTCAGTTCTCTTGGTAGAAAGTAAAGCAGGAGGATTTGGTGCCTGCTTTGACTTGGCTGCTCGGTTTTCTGTGCTGAAATTAGACAAAGCACTCATGAGAGAACCAGAGGAGCTGGCCTAGACAGTCTCTCAGGGGAGGCAGAGTTGTCATCTGATGGTCTGCAATCAGCCCAGCCCCGCTGTGTTCAGTGGTGGTTCTGTTTGCAGACTGTATAATGTGTAACAAAACACTGAGTAACCAAACCAGGGTTTAGATGGTGCTGCTGTGGATAATTACTGAGGTTTGTAAAGACCTTGGGGCTTTCTCCTGCAGAAAACTACACGCAGGCAATCGAGGAGTTCCAGGCCTGCCTGGCCCTGCAGCAGAAGTACCTGGAGGCTCACGACCGGCTGCTGGCAGAGAGCCACTACCAGCTGGCCCTGGCCTACCACTACAACAGCGACTTCGACCAGGCCGTGCTGCAGTTTGGGAAGTCCATGGAGGTCATAGACAAGAGACTGGGTACGTGGAATTCTGAAGCTGTCCAGTGAGTTTTCACAAGGCAAAGTGGTGAGGTGTGCTCGTGGGCTGCTGTGTGCTGTTGTATCTGAAAGTGGTGAGACTACACCAGGGGCAGAGTTTGTAAAACTGTTTGTTAGCAGATAGTTGCCTCTGGATGTTGGTAACTGCACAGTTACTTTGTCTCGAGGTGTTTTGCCCTGATAACTGTTTCATCCCAGCAATACTGACTGAGCGAATAAAGAAGGCAGACACTGGGTCTCCTGAGGACGAGAAGGAGATAGAAGAACTGAAGGGACTGCTTCCTGAAATTAAAGAGAAGATAGAAGATTCAAAGGAGTCACAGAAGAGTGCAAAAGTAGCTGAGCTAGGACTGAAAGCAACTCTGGTGAGTGTGTGTGTCCTGTGGTTTTGTTTTGAATAAATCAGTAATGGGAGGAGCTCAGACTTGATCAGGGACTGGTGGTTGCTCACAGGTGTTACCAGGCTGTGGTTATGAGAAGGAAACTGAGGCAGCTGATGTCTAAAGAGGATATTTACTAACAGCCCTGATACAGATTGTTCCAAACTAAACAGGAATTTTATATGCTTCTGTGGCATTTAATGTATCAGGGCGACGGATCAGGCAAATGTGGGGTGCACATTGCATGTGTCCTTACAGAAGTGCAGAATCCAGTGTTGGGATGTGGAGGACTTGGGCTTTCTGTATCTCACTAAGTTCCACATGCATTGTCTGCCACAGTCTGTTTTTTCTGCCTTTTTAAGGTTGGAACTACATCTGGGTTTGCACAAAGTGAAGACAGTGGTTCTGTGTCCACAGTAAGTTAATCTAAAATGAACGTTGTTAATTCTCATCTACTCTAAGGATTACTGGTTGTGTTTGCTCATGTGTCAATGTCTGTCTTGTAACAGATTCCAGTAAGGAAAGGAGCTGATGGTGCATCTCAGTGTGTAACAGACATCTCTCATCTAGTCAGGAAAAAGGTGAGTCCAGAAATTACTTGTTAAACAAGAAGTTTGTTGAAGTACTGCTGGCTTGCTCTGTGTAATAAGATTTGTCTTAAAAGTATTTTTTCTTAATTGTATAATGGAAAAACGCTCCAGAAGTAAAACCAGTAGTGTTTGAAACTCCTTTCCACTGGGAACCAATCAGTCTGGGAACCATCTGGCCTCCAGGAGACCATTCTTGGTGGTTCAGCACCCTGCCTGACCCACACTGATGTAAATCTGACCCAGTTGTGTGGCTTCTGCAGGTGTTCCCTGAACAAGATTTTCCTCTGCTGAAGACCCTCAGGCAACCCTGGGATCACCTGTAGATCCCAAGGAAAAAGCAAAGCTAGGCTGGGTTCCCTTCTTTCCAAAAGGAGATCAGGACTTGGACTTTCAATAAATAGTAAAGCCACACTGGTGGTAATGACACACTGCCTCTTTAGAGATCAGATATTGAGAATGTGGTTCCTGTGTGTTCTCTAGAAGTGTTTGCTGGTAAAAACTAAGATCTTATAGGTGATACTCTCAGTTTTATGTTGCCTCTGTTTCTTTGATCTGTTAGTTCAGGTGTGCCTGGAGTGATTTGGAGCTGCTTTAGGTGATTGCAAATGTTGTAGATGCCCTAAGTCTACCCTGGAACTGTTACAGGCTCAGTGGTTGCACCTTTCTTGACCAGACTGTAACTACAGATAACAGCTCTGGAGATCCTGGCACCTAAAGTGTCACTGGGTCTAAAGCTCTGGCTAAACCCCAACACTGGGGAGTCTGTCCTGAGCCTGGCAAGCAGAGGTTGGGTAGATGATGTGCAGTGACATCTAATGCTAAATTTCTCAAAATGATTTGAACTTTGATTTGTACTTAGTGGAGATTCTAAACAATTTTGTCTTCAGAGGAAACCAGAGGAGGAGACTCATCAGGGAGACAATGAAGCCAAGAAACCTAAACCAGAACCAGCTGTCAATGGTGGTGGTGGGGACCCTGTCCCCCGTGGAAAAGAGGTTGCAGAAAAAATGGAAGAGGAGGTGGGCAGCTGAGCCAGGAGTCTGGGCTGTGCTTTTTATTTTATTTCCCCCTCCTCTCTGTTCAGGGATGGTTCTGTGCCTGATAGATGTCCTGATTTTATTGCCTGCTGTCCTTCATGAGGTTTCCCAGATGAGATGAAGGCTATTCCCAGTGGGCAGGATGCATGTAGTGCTGTGGTGCTGACCTGTGTGGCTGGACAGACCCAGCCATGGAGCCTTGTCACCTGTGGGGTGGGACAGAGACAGGTTCTGGGTGGTTTTTTGCTGGGCTCAACTCCAGCACAGGGTGTTCCCCCACTTTTTCATGTTCCTGGGTTTTATTACTTACCCCTGGGCTGCACTTGTTACTATCAATGCTTTAGGGTAGTGTTGGGCTCTGGAGACTGGCAAAGTTCCCATAGTTAAGACTTCAAATTACAGAACCCTTGGGCTGCTGCATGAGTTGGTGCTGTAGGACTGTGTCTTGACTTTTAAAAACAAACCCTTATCTTCTCTTTTAGACAGAGAAAAGGCCACAAGCAGAATCAGGGGCTGCAGTTGAAAGCACAGTATGATAATGATTCTTTAACCTTGGACACTCCTCTCCTTACAAGGAAAATGGTTTTGTATATAGTGTATTTTTTCACTTTTTGGCAACTTTTGTATGACTTCAATAAAGATTGTAAGCAAATGGTCCCTGTCTTGACCTTCCTCCTGTGACAGGTTCCAGCCTCTGCTCCTGGCTGTCCCCCGGGGCTGGAGGTCTCAGCCCTGGCCCACTGCTGGGCTCATGCTCCCTTTAGCTTTAGCATTTCCACCCACGTCTGCCTCCTTAGGAGCAGAGGGTCAGAGGGGCCAGGCAGGGCTGGCTGCTGCAGGCATGAGAGCAGTGCCTGAACTTCACTGTCTTGGCCAGGGACCTGACTTTTTTTCCTTCTGCTGGGGCCTTGTCAGAGCTGGGGCAGTGTTTTGTTCCTTCAAGGCTGAGCCTGAAGTGGGGTTTGATAGTGCCTCCCTCAGCTTTGAGCAGCCTGAAGATGGTGGGGAAGGCTGGTAATGAAAGAGCTTTGTAACATCCTGGGCTTGGTTGCTGTGTGTTTTTATCTCTGCTCAGCCTCCACTTTGCACCCAGGAGGGGGTGCAGGAGCAGGTGCTGATGGTTGATGCCCCTGAGCCAGCTTGAGTGCCCAGGTGGGGCTGGGACCTGCCCTGGGTTGTGTTGTCTAAAAAAAGGCCAACAAGTGAAGAGCAATGAGCTGAAATCTTTTATTTAACATGTAGCACAGGGCTTCTGACACTTCAGAAAGCTGGCTCTGGTTTTTGCTGGTTCCCAGGGCTGGGCTGTGCATGCCCTGGGTTAGGCTTTCCCTAGAGGGCTGGATGTGGGGATATGCCTGAGGGCAGGGAATTTATTGTGCCCCTCCGTGCCCCCTGCCTGTCCCCAAACCACCATTGTGAGCAGGAGTGGTTGAGCCACTCTGGCTGTGGGCTCTGTCCTGAGGTGGAGGCTGAGCTGTGTCACTCAGTTTGCTGCTGGCTTGGGGCTTTGCCTGTCCTTTTCCTGCTGCAATGCCCAGAGCCTCTTTGGTCCCAGCAGTGGTCCTGTACCATTCCACCCATCCCAGCAGTTCCTGGAGCCCCTGTTTGCTGGTGGAGGGGGTGGCAGGGCAGTCCAGGGGCCATGGCCTGGTCCTGGCTCACCTTCGGGGAGCTCTGTCTTGTGCTGGGGGCTCCTGAGCAGGAGGAGGGTCCTCCAGGGCCACAAAGGGGGTGAGGGGGAGTCCGGGGGGCACGTGGGCTGTAGGTCTGCCAGGCCCCAGTGCTGGCCCGGGGGACTCCTGGGAAAGGAAAAAGGTGATGTCAGGGGGAGGAGGGTCCTGGCAGGGTGTGAGGTGCCTGGCCATCCCTCACATGTGGCACTGGGTGTGCAGAGCAAATCACAGCCCTGGTCCAGCACTGGTGGGGACTCGCCTCCTGCCCCAGTGGCTCTATCCCCAAGTGCAGCAAAGGGAGCTGTTCCCAAATGTCCCTTAAGCTTGTACCTCCACACCCATCATCCCATCCCAGTTGTCAGCCCAATCCCAACTCCCCTTCCCTCCTTGGAAAGCTGGAAATCGCCCTGGACTGAGGCTCTTACCATGAGAAGTTCTGGCACGGCAAGGGCTGGTGGCAGTAGGGGGGCTATGGGGTGTGGGAAGACAGGGGGGTGCAGCCATGGCCTTGTCTGCTCCGCATGGCATCGCAGCATTCCCACCTCTGCCTGGAGCCGGGCCAGCTCCTCCGTGTGCCGCTGGGCTGCCCGTGAGCCTGGGCAACAGGATTTGGTCACCGTGGGCTTTACAGCAGCCATTCTCCTGGCTCCTCACCAGGCCCATGTTCAGGGGACTGGGACTCTCACTGCAGAGAGCCCACCCCGAGCTGCAGCCAGCATTTCTAGGAGCCATCACCAGCCAGAGCTCTGATGCTACAACCACAGAGGCAGCTGGAGGCTGTGGGGTGCAGGTGGGGAACCTATTTACCTACCAGCATCCACTCTCCTTTCCCTTCTGACCTTCAGTGCCAGCAGCTCATCCTCCAGACGCCGGTTCTCCAGCTCCACGGCCAGCAGCGCCGCATCCAGACCATGAGTGCCAGTGCCCGGGGGCTCTGCTGGAACAGCTGGGGTGCCTCAGTGCTGTCTGTGCAGCCATGCTCCCCGAGGGGGACAGGCCTGGGCCTGCTGTTGGCGCTTACCCATCCGCCTGGCCCTGCGCAGCCCCGCGGTTCCTTTCTCCAGCACCATGGCCTCCAGCTGGAGGTGCAGAAGCTGGTCCAGGATGGCCGGGTCGTGTCCCCCAGAGCGCAGGTAGGACACTCGCAGCGCCCTGCCGGAGCCCCGGGTCAGCCATGGCCAGGGCTCGGCTGGGCGCTGCGCTCGGAGCCGCCGTGGCCCACAGACCTCACCTGGCCTCGGCCGCCAGCGGCCCTGCGGGCGGCAGGAGGGTGTCGAGGTGGAGGGTGGCCCTGGGGAGGAGGCAGGCAAATGGGGGGTGAAGGAGCCTTGATGGAGGGCACCCCACAGGGCCAGGGCTGTGCTGTGACCCCTCAGCTCACCTGTGCTGTGCTGTTGGGACCTGTCTGGCCTGGTCCTGCAGGCCTTGGCTCGGCTCGGGCTCCCCGTGCTCGGGCTGGGGGCCCAGAGGTGCCCCGGCCCCCAGCGCCGCCAGCCGCCGGCACAGCCCTGCAGGACCGTGAGGGGCGGGGGGCTCAGCGCGGCCCCACAGCCCCACTCTCGGGGGGTTACTGCATCCCACACGCGCCTCCCCATCGCCCCAAAACCATTTGCAGGGCCTACCCTCTCTCTGCAGCTCCAGCTGCCGGGTCCTGGCCCGGATCTCGGCCACCTGGCGTTCGTGGGCCTCCAGCAGCTCCTGCGGCGGCTGCCGGGGGGGTTCTCCCTGCGGCACACGGGGTTCACGGGAAGGAGGGGCTGGCCCCAGTGCCGAGGAGCTGTAGGGCTGCTGGTGCCCACCCTGGCATTCAGGATTCACCGTACCTCCACTGGCACCCTCCTAGAAGGGGGGTCGGCCGTGCGGAGCAGGGCCCTCTCGCGGGGGGTCAGCACGTCCCCCAGGGGAGCTCCCCGCGCCCGCCCTGGTCCCTGCTGTCCCCGCACAGCTGCTGGGACCCCACGAGGCACAGAGTGATGGCGTGCCTCAGCGTCGTCCGTACTTTGGGACATCCCAACCTCGCAGACACAAAGGGAAGAAAAGGGTGACGCTCCCACCTCCCCCATCCCCCCCCACCCCCAAAATATCCTTTTCTGGTTTTGGCAAAATAAGCACCAAGGGCTGCCTGTGTGGTGCAGGGGTGGGAAGATGGAGGCCTGCCCAGCCCAGACCAAGCTGGAGCCAGGCTGTGATACCCAATTCCCCAGCCCAGCACTTGTCCCCATCCCCATTCTATGCCCGACCCAGCTCCACACTACCGAGATGTCCTGTGGTTTCCTTGCCGTGCTCTGTGCTCCCTCCACAGGCAGAGGGTCCCCCCCGTGGAGGCAGGAGCTGCTGGGTGCCGTGGGCCCGAGGCACAGCTTCTCCATGTGCACCTGCAGCAGCGGCCGGGATCTGAACGCCAAGCGGCAGCGGGGGCAGAGGAAGGTGCCCATGTCCAGCAGGGAGTCACTCGGGGGGGCACCCTGACAGGCAGAGGGGATCCCCCCGCGGGGCTGGCACCCCGGGACCGGCTGGAAGTGTGCACAGACCTGCTGGTGGCAGCGGCGGTGGCTGCAGTGTTTGAAGCCACTGTTGCTATGGACGCTGGGCTGGGCAGGGAGGGCCGGCCCCCAGCCCTGGACATTCCCACTGTTTACCACGGGCACTGGAATGGGGAAAAAATGTCGCTGAGCCACCAGAGCAATCCACAGAAAACAAGATGAGGGAGGCCCCGCTGCCCTGTGTCCCTCTGCGGTTACAAAGTGCTCACTGACAGGCACACTTGCCCTGGGGCTGTCCAGGAGTGCCCCTTGCCCACCTGGCAGCAGCTCCCATTTAGCAGACTTTAAGCTAAGGGGAATCTCCACACAGGTGAAATAGCTCCTGCTGCCCTTTCTTGCCACAGGTGTGCAGGCCCTGGCCTTTTTCCCAAAAAAGCTCCCTGCATTTCATCCTTGCACCCACCTCAACTCTGCTTGGCAAATCCCTGCAGTTTTTCCCCTAAGCTCACTGCCAGTGGTACCTGTCATGAACTCATTATTTGCTCAGGAAAAAGCTGGCTTGCCCTGAATGGGGACTTGCCCTGCCACTTCCAAAATTTCATCGATGTTTAAGCCCTGCACAGCCCACAGGAGGGTCGGGGCACAACAAGGAGCTCCTGGCACACACAGGCCAGGCTGCACTGTCCCAGGGCAGGCTCGTTCCACTCCAGAATGCTCAGCAATCCAATTCCCCCATTCCAAGTGGCTATCAGCATGGATCTGAGGTGAAGGGGTTTTTAAATTTACCCCATTTCTTGAGATCAGTGCACGCAGATCTACATAACTTGGTTTAAATGGATATAGGAAATTAAACTTAAAAAACCCCAAATGGGTAGGCTCTTCCAGACAAAAGCAGTGGTTGAATATTCAGAAGCAACAAGGTGGTTTGTGCAAAGTCATATAGGAGCCCCAGCACTTCCCCAAGCACTATCAGGCAGCATCAGCTGCTGGACCCTGTTTTCCAGAGCACAGGGATAAAGGAATGCCCACTGCCCCTCTCCTCTGGGGTTCACGGCAGAGCCAGCAGGAGCTGGAGGCACAGGTAGCAGGGCTGCACCTGATAATGCTGAGCGTGCACCCTTGAATCCAGATGCAAAGATTCAGGACTCAACATTATCATTTTCTTACACCTCTGTTCTCTCAGCCTGGCCAGGAGTAGATTAAGAACCACAGGCACAACCTTGGGACAAACCCCCTCAGGCCAGCAAGCCCAGCTTTTGTGTGACTCTGTCCAACCCCCCTGCACAACCCCAGAGCACTTTCCAATCCAAAACATTTGTGCACAAGGTGAACTTACACCAGACACTAAAATAGCTTAGGCCACAACTGAGTTGTTTGTAAAATTCTTTTTAATCTAATAGAAATGTTTTCATGAATTTTTAAAAAAGATTTCAATGAAAACAGCTTTGGATTCAGACATTCCCTTGCCACGTTGTGAACATAAACAGCAGCATTGCACTAGGAACAAGTGACACCGACCGGTCGAGCTTCACCATTTTGTATGAAGCGGAAAAAAAAGCAAACTGCTTTAGTAGAAGATAATTTTGAATTATTTTCTTTTAAAAAAATCCCCAAACATGGACTGTCATCTCAGCATTGTTCTCTCTCTCCCTTCTTAAAGGAAGAGTTCAGCTCCTGCAGTCTGAGCACTACAGCAATGTTTGCCAAGTGGAAAAATAGAGCGGGAGAAGAAACTGTTTATCCCCAGTGCTACTGAACCCCCAAAGTTGCAGGTCCCTTAGAGGAAAGCTCCTCTTACATAAGAAAGACAATTAGAATTGGCAAACTGATGCAAAATATTTATTCCAAGTTAGTTATTTTTGATGCAGTAGTTTTTCCCCCTCATACAGACTCAATGTGATAGTCACTTTTTAAAATCTGTAAATAATGTTATCAAAATAATCTTAATCTTTGAAATCTCACAAAAAATTTATATTTTACAATCCACCCTGAATATCAAGGCTGCAAGAAGAAGAACACAAACAATTCCTATATCCAAATATTTTACAGCTGTACCCAAAAAAAAAAAAAAAAGAAAACCACAAACGCCTGGTTAAGTGATGAAGCTCCCCGAGCCGCCAAAAAAAATAAAATAAAATAAAATATTCATGTTATTAGCATTAATTTAACATAATTAGAACTTCAAAAGCCATTTTGTCATCGACAATGATTGTTTTAGCACACCGTTACCGCGCGCTGGGCAATGCGGCGGCACTGTTAGAAGCTTGTTGTTGCAGAGATCAGTCAGCCACTTGTGTCCTGCTCACACGACTGAACTTGTGCACTGCCCCACAAGGGATTTTTGTCAAAATTTGCTAGCTGCACAAACTTCTAGTAAGCATTAGGGCAAAACCAAAAGAAAAAGCTAAAGAAGCCAATTTCTCTCTTCTTTGGGATACAATTATTTCCCTTGTGCATGAAGTATCAACAACAAAAGAAAAAACTGAACAGACTGGAGACAGAATAAACTCTGTTTAGTTTATACAACCCCAAACACGTGTTGAACTATGAACTGAGTTTATTGGGTTGGTTTTATTTATTTAATTTTATTGTGCCCAGTTTCAGGCATCGTCATCTGACGTTTCGCTGCTACTTGTTTCTGTGTCTGAGTCCTCAATCTTTGTCTTAAAAGTGCTTCCCCAGTGGAACAACAGGCTGGAGCCGCGGCCCTGAAGAAATCCATTCTTCCCAAATCCGTTTCTTCTTCGCTGTAGGAATGAAAGTAAGTTTTAAATCGAGCAGAAGTGTGGAGAGTAACTGTCACCAACCCTCTGTGGTGGACATGAATGCCACGTTTAACTGTGTGTGCACACATGGAAAATGCAGAATCATCCATTCCACTACAGTCTCCCTTAAATGCTTGGTCCTTTTGAACACCCTTAAAAACAAGCCCTTGAGAAAGGAGAGGAAGAAGAGCAGTCACAAGTAGCAAGAGCTGTAAACATACCTGCTCTGATTTAATCTGGAACTCTTTGAGCTCATCCTCCGTAAGGGGAAGGTAGTTCTCATCATTTTCAGGATATTCCTGCCATCCCATTTCTTTCAATAACCTGATTGTGGAGAAAATAAAAGGGGCATGGGAACTAAAGCAAGGGAACAATGGCAAAGAAAGGTACACTTTGTCCATGAAAAGCAAGGGTTTTGTAGTAAATCACTCCAAATTCACCAGGGAATCTTCTCTATCATAGACCACTTCAACAGTCCTTTGTGTTTACCCACCATTTTTCAATGTCTTTTACAAATATTTGACCATCAGCAGCTCTGTACAATGGGTACATAACCAGCCTGGTGGAAGGCAAGGATTTGAAATTATAACTCAAGGACGCTGAGGGAGGACATGAGGCAACCAAGCCAGTATCACAGCTCCGAATCTCCTGAACCTTACTATCTGCTTGCACCAGATGCTCACACTGCTTACTCACTGACGTGAGATACAGCCCGAGATACCAGGTAAATATTATCCTAACTCTCCTCCACTTTTACAGCATGTAAAGGAGCACAGGAGTATTCCATGTGCAAACAAAGTGTGGTGTGTGTCTTCAAATCGTACATTTAGGACACCCTGCTTGCAAATTAACCAGAATTACCCTTGGTTCATGCTGACTCCCACTGTGGACAGATAAATATCTCTAGGCAGCATTATTAACACATGGGGATGTGGCATTAAAGAAGCACTGGAATTTAATTACAGACCTTGGTAAAGCCTTGGCTCATCTGTCATTGGTGTCTTGTTTTACTTTCAATAAGACCCCACCCACTCCAACACTAGTCACAAGGCCCACACACCTCCTTCCCTGTACAAACACAGCTACTGCTGCTTCCCAAAAATAGAGTTTTCATCAAAATTGTTTCCTTCTCCTCACACCGCCCAAGGATTCACCCTCCTTTATTCCACACACTTTATTCTGCCATTTACTCACCTGTGTTCTGCTTCCAATGAATGGGAGAGGTTTTCCCCCTCCTCCGGCAAAGGGAGAGAAAGGCCATTCTGATGGCAGTTCTCCTCCCAGTTTTCCTTTGGTTCTGGTGTGCTGTTGCTCTCCATCTAAAGAAAAATAAAACCATCAAAGTGTGCTTGCACAGACCGTGCCAACAGCACAGTTCCAAGTTCAAGCTTCTGCCTTTGAAAGTCCAGCCAAGCCTTTCACCTTGAGCCAGTTTTTTTTACAGAAGCTGCAGTAACATGTACCTGGCTGTGACAGGACAACACAGGACGAAGGACATTTGGTGGCCTGTGCTGCTGTGCCAAGGGAGCGAGTGCTGGCATTGCAAAGCCATCACCGGCAGCTCAGAGTGACAGCAAGAAAACTGTGAGAATTAAATGCTCCTAAGGACATACTTTAAATACACATTAAGGCACAGATCTATGCATTTGGGAGTCTGGTCTGAGCCTCTGAGGCTCAAGCCACATTCCTGCACCTTTCACAAGCACAAAATTCTACTTTTCTGTGAATGCAGTTTGACAGGGAAGTTGGAAAGCAACTTCATGTTAAAATATGATACTGTTCCTCTCCCCTTAGAGAATCCTTGCAAAAAAATCTAGATTACCTTCAACATCTGTGACCTTCCCTTCCACCTCATTTATTACTTATGCACTTGCATTTCACTGTGCTACACATCTCCCTCCATCACTGCACTATTTCCACTGGCACATGTGCCAGACCAGTGGGAGTCATTCCTTTCCTCTTCCAGAGCCTGAATTACATACACTGCTCAGGGCTTTTTCAGCCCCAACTTCTGCAACAGTAATGACTGTATACACAGCAAGGACAGCGATCTTACATCATCCAGCTTGTCACATTCCCTGTTTTCTGTTATCTCCCCATTTCTATCATCCTTCAGTGCCTTCAGGAATTCACTCTTTTTATCAGTGGTCCGGCGCATCAGCTTCGTCAGGCGTGAGGAGCAGATCTCGATGGGAGGGGTGGTGCTGGAAGGACTCTGCACAGGGAAGGAGAACACAGACATCAAACTGCACTGCTGCAAACCCGAGGCCTCCTCAGTGGCTGTGCTTACACCTTTCCAACACTCATCAGTTCCTTGGGTGGCTCTTAACCCCTCAAAAAATCCCAACCGAATGCCAAATTCTCTTCAAAATACTAATGTGTGTTGCACATTCACTTCTCCCATCTATTATTATCAACTCAATTTCTTTTCTTCCCCTAGCAGTCAATTCACATGTCCATGAATATGTTTATTTTGTTCCTTTGTAATGTAACTCTCTCAGGCAAGCTGGTGCCTACAACAGAGAATTAGGGCCAAAGCTTCATGCAGAACTCCTGCCCTACAAAAATTAGCACATTAAGCAAATTAAGACTCAGTTCAAATTTGCGTTTTAAGTCATCCTGACAGACTCTACCCTGAAATTAAGCTATGGGGAGGTAATCTCCTTTCAGGGAGTGGTCACATCCTTAACTAACCACAAGCG